CGCACAAATCGAGAAGTGTACCGAGCTGAAAGAACTGGGGTGACGGTGAGGATGGCAGTAATAGCATCAATAGTTCTATTTGTGCCTCGCTAATGTTTATAATTTTGAGCACAGTCAGCTATAATTGCCTTAGTTTCGCACTGCGGTGCTGATGGGGGTGTGCAATGCAAGCTTGCACGTGAAATGGCAAGGTTGACCCATCGCTGAAATGATGCGTTTGAGAGAGAACTTAGCTTGTTCTGAATGTTTCTTTGCCTTCTCCTCCAACCCGAAAAGCGAAAAGCGGCAGGGCCAGAAGCCCTAATCCCTGGAAGCCCAGGCGTGAGGCTGTCCCGGATGCGGTGTCCCCGACAATGTGCGTTCTCCGTCTGGGCACGGGCAACGCTTTAGCTTACGTCACAGGCGAGAGCCTTCCAGCAGGGGATCAGGTGAGTTAGGATTTGATGGCCGCGCCTCTATTTTCGTGGGGGTGTCAGCTGTGCAGCTTGCCGAACTATGGACCTTCCGCCCGAAGGTGCCAGACTTCAGAAAGGCACGCCGTGGTTCGTTTTTGAACGTCCAATGTGTTTAGCTGCAGGCGCTCAGAAAAACTTCTTCGGCGACCTCGACCATCTCGTCCAGGCGCCAAGCCCAAACCTAGGACCTAGGCTTTCGGACCGGGATAAGCGGGAGTGATTCCACGACTTGGGTGGAGGGTAGTGCTCTTCATGCCGGAACCCAAGCTCCAGGCTCCAAGCTCCAAACTCCCAGCTGGCAGGAGCTGGCGGACGAGAAAAAACCGGTCCCTGAAATCCCGACGAGCACGATCACGGTGATTCCAGAGGCAGGAGGGGCCCGAAATGCCTGGGTTAGACTCCCGCACCTTGGTCCAGTCGGGCTTTGTGTTTTCCGGCTGCTCGGACCGCGGATACCCAAGGTGCCGCGACGGATGTTGCTCCCAGTTATTGCTCCGTGCTGTTTGGCCCATGACGAGGTTTTATCCACTCGTGAATACAGGTCATTAGGTGCCAAAATCCCGAAAACCCTCGAGGGCTTGCCGGATGACCAGCCGGAA